AATATGTACAAAATCTGTCGATAGGGCCTACTATCCCACACACCGAGAAAAGCTTGACTTCGGTCATGGAATTGTGAATAAGGCGAGTGAAGTCATTGTACAGCCTCACTGATCCAGAGGAAAACAGGGCAAAGGTAATCAAGATCCCTGCTCCGCTAATGCAGAAGCTTTATCACGAGCTATCATAATTGAATGTTTTTGTATGTGTTGCATGAATATTGAATACAGGGCAGCAGCTGTCAGCAGCTGTGTGTCTTATCTTTTCAGTGACTCTGAATGATGAAAGGGTCAAAGGAATTTGACTGACCAGGCTTGGTTATGAGCCTAGAGCTGGGCGTTTTTAGGAACTGCGCTGCTCATAGCAGGGGTTTATGAACCTACAAGACCTTGGTTCAGCGTTTCACATCGTAGTAGGCAGGTTATCGCTGGCTGCTCGTCAGGGTCCCTCATGAACTTCATTACTTGCCATGCCCAACTAATGAGTGCCGTTTTCGCATTAGCGCTCCCATTATTAAATAGCATTCATTGCAACCATTGCCACGGTTTTCTAGCCTCGTTCCGCTGTTACCGATGTATGGTGATGCGAATGCGCATGGGCAAAATTTTAATGATAGCTATGAGATGTGCAGTATTTGAAGTTAACCTGCGCTGTGACGTTGCAATCAAGTGTTGAGGTGGCTTAAACCCTTCCCCAAAAATCTTTAACCCTAGCATTGCCGCAAAAATACGGGCGTTGAGGCGGGGGCTGGGAGCTGAAACTGCCCCGCAGATCTTCGAGCTGGGGTTCCCACTTGCATCGCGATGCTTTTTCAGCAACGATTAGTACTCCGAGAACAAAGAGCATAACCGGAGCCAACATGGGCCATGAGCGCGGTTAGCACTCTGCAGAAGCTAGCTACATCTCAATACTTGATTCGAGGTGCATGCGCAATGTATTTCTGCAGCGTGCATTTGTCTCCACCTTGTTCACACTGGGAGGTTTTTTTTGTAACCCGGTTCATGCAAGCAGTGGACTTTAATATGGAATGGTGATTGAATATAAAACGGGGCGGGGGGCCTACCTTCGTCTGCGGGCCATCTTGAGAATTAGAGTTTAACACCAAAGAAAAAATAACACATCGCCGCGCCTCCCACAATCTTGTTATCGTTCCCCGCCGCCCACAGTGTCAACAAATAAGCACTCAAACCAACGAAATTGCCCTGCAGGTCGATTAAGACACAGCGTTCGTACTAAGAGACTACGTTCGCGCTTCTGTTTGATACCTTTGGTATTGCTGCCGTTCGGTTCGGTCTTTGGGCCGCTATTGCATCGCGCAGCATTGCAAGGGATCATCAGCATCATTAGCTGCGGGGTACTGGATATCAGCTCCAGCGAAACAGGGTTCCTCACAATTCCCACATAGAAAGTCTTGTGAAAAAGGGAATCGTAGAGGGTGTCATACGACCTGCGGCTGAACCAGAAACCTCTTACTCATTTTCGTCGTGTGGAGGCGCAACGTGAGGAGGGTCAGCCGGCCACACTATTCGACAGTCGAACCCCCATTTTTAACTCCATTTTTGCCGGGCATCGTCTCCGAGCCCCCTTCTTCTGCGGTGTCAGTCACTAGATTTTTGGTGTTCCACCTGCGCCTCAGTGCTGCACTGGTGTGGTAGAAAAATAAAGGTTAGTCCTACTGCCATTTATCTATATATAAGAATCAAGGAATGCCCCTCTCTTGCTCTCTTATTTCCCCCAAGTATATCGACTTGTTCCACAGCCTGAGTCATTCAATATATCATTTACCCTGGTCAACGAAACTTGATACCTTCACCGCAATATCATATATAGAGTGTGGTAAAGTAACTTGAGTTAACATTTTTCAAAATGCCAGTCTTCGAGGCTTCGTACACTCGTACTTCACACCGGAGGTCCCGCACCCGCTCACCGACTAGACCTTCCATTTTGAAGCGCGCCCGCAGCTTTTCGAATTTTATTCCACCAAGCGAAAGCACCACTCAAGTCGGATACGCTATTCCTGCACCAGCGCCAGCACCAGCACCAGCTTGGGTGCGAGGAACGACGAGAATTACCTATCCAGCACCAGAACCAGGGCCGCTTGTTTACCAGGCAGCACCTTCTCAGAAGTGGTCAATAGCTGCTACATACGGATCGTCATCCAGTAAAGTACAGGGTGCATATCCGTCTTCACCCACATCAGCTTCATACATTTTCCACGACACAAAAAAGGCAGAAATGTCGTTGTACAGGCCTGCCAGTTACAGCCGTCCAGCTACCCCTCCAAACCCTCTGGATGACCCAGATGTTAAGAAGGAGCTGGACTACGAAAAGCGCATGAGGATGCTAGCTGAACAGCGCCATCAGGAGACGCTGAAACAACAGATAATTGAGGCGGAGATCACAAAAGCTGCGGTTGCGCGACAGAGCGCTATCGACGAGGAGCGTGCGCGGGAGCGCATGAACCGGCTTTATATGCTCAGCCAGCAGCAGCAGCAACAGCAAATGATTCTTCATGCCGCCGCTTACGCCGCTGATCGTGAGCACCATCGTCACGCACGGCATCGCAGCCGCTCCACACACCGCTCTAGGTCTCGTTCTCGTTATTCTGAGGTTGAGGAGGAGCGGGCGCGTCGCCGCGCTCACCATGTTTGCAGCAAATGCTCGCGAAAGGGTCATTACTCTATTGAATGCACCTCATATACCGTTCCACATACCCACCTCCTTGAGGGCAACCCGAGGATGTCTGCGCCAGCCCTTCTCCCGTCTTCGCATAGGGGAAGGCGGAGCTCCAGGGGAAGTGTATATAGTTGCTCGGGGGATGAGTACGAGGAGTATGAAGAGGATGAGATATGGTATTCAGACGGGTACGAAGGTGAGGTGGAGGGGGTCCCGGCGGACAAGGGCGTGTTGGTCATGTATACACCAGGGGGAGGGCCGGGGTCAACGAGGAGCTCAGTGAGGCATGTGGTTGGGTTGTAAACAAGGGGCGTCGGGTGACATACATGAATGGTGGGTGATTTAGTACGACAGTCTGAGAGATTTGAAATTTGGGGGGCGTGGTGCTAGAGTTGTGCACTATTACATCATAGCAGTTTTGGCTGTTCCCAAGTTTTCTCTTTCGGTTATGACTTTCCTGTCTGCTTGCTTATTTACGTTTATCCTGTTTGGTTTTATGCTAGGTGATGTGTTTTTGATTATCTGCTATAGGGAAATACGGGGTTATTAGGCTTTTGGCCCTTGGCTTTATTTATGATTTTCTGAATTTGACTTATCTCATGCTGATGTTTTTGAGTTTTGTTTTCAAGACACGTAACGCAAGTGATGATATCCTCATTTTTATTTTGCTCAGTATGAATTTCTTTGTGGGCGTGTTGGGAGGTTTTCACATGGAGAATTGCAGAAAATGTCTTTCAAAGAGGGAGGGGTTATATATTTACATATATATTTTTAGTCGAGCATGGAACCACTGGTATGGAGTTGGCAAGAAACTCAGGGACTTTAAGATATAGAAGTTTCAATGGATTAGTTAAGCATACTATTCATTCTGACTATATAAGATTGTCTAAATTTTGTCTATGTCTAGCGATCTGAGCTCCAACATTGATATTGTGAATTTATGGAGTAATAGGATAAAATTGTATGTATGCAGGGGATGACATTAATAGGTTACGTAGCGAGCGCAGCACTAAGCTAGGACGAGAAGAATGCACCCAGAGGGAGGGTGACACATTTTTTTTTTCCCCTCTTATCATCTCAGATGCGCTTTAAGCTAGAGCAATCTGCAATTACCTGAAGCTAATACTGTAGACGGACTGAGGCTCTTGAGATGGCTCACAGAGGGTTTTGACATGTACAGGGGGTTGAATTACGTACATTGCACGAAGACCATGTGTGCATATGTGCGTCATGAAATCCTACAGGGGTGGTGCTTGGAACGTTGTGGCGAAGCATAAAAGTGGATCTCGTATTACGACATGCGTGGGGAGTAGATATTCTTTGGGAGGAATGCGGGAGGTAGTGGATCGAGTGGGAGGGGGATGCGAGTGGGCTGAAGGTGATTGTGCGATATTGGGTCTGGGTTGAGGGTAATGGTTGTGAGCGCTCGGCTGGTGTCGGGAGGATCGGAGAGATTCACGGAGGATATACGCACAATATATTATTAATGGAGCGACAATATTACTACTACATAAGAAATACTTGTATAGCTTGTGCCTAGTCTCGATTTTAGCCATGATGCTTTGGCAAGGGCATGCTTTCTGCTGAAAGCCAAATGAGAAGCAACTGCTTTTAATTCCCGCCCATCTATGTCTACATACTTGATTCATACTTACTTGGAGTGACCCTGAAGCAAATACCGGTAATCTATATACTAGCCAGTAAAATTAATATGTATTCGGACATGGGTACTAATGCACATTATGCGCTATGTCCGAATACATATTTTACTAGCAAATAATGGGGGATACCGAACTGGTTAGGGTAATACGTAGGTGATACTGCTCATATTGCCCTGGTTCATGCGGACAACACTGGATTCGGGATGGCTGAACATATGATCAGGACGCCGGAAGAATGTGTATCGAATGCATCCATGGTATAGTGAGGGTCAACTGAGCGTTGTAATATTGCATAGTTGGGATACGGTTGTTGCAGATTGTAGAAGAATCTCAAAGAAGCGGGTACCTAGGGGTTCTGGTACTAGCCAGTAAAATATGTATTCGGACAGGGGTACTAATACGCATTATGCGCTATGTCCGAATACATATTTTACTAGCTAGTAGCCTAGGGTTCTGGAGCGAACTGCTGACCACCATACTGTTGCTGTGACACTTGCAGCCTTACTAGTCTGGTTGCACCGACCAGAACTAGTCTAGAGCCTCACTCAGATGCATCCCCTGGAATTCCTAGATTAACTTGGCATTCATATATCACGTGGCTTAGCAAGAGGTCACAAGTCAATGCGGAAGTGTACAGCTGTGCCTAATATAGAATCATATTCATTGGGAGCATGGTTTAGTGGTATAACATCTCATTTGCAACCCCTAAATGGGACTGGAAATTTGAGAAGGTCTGGGGTTCGATTCCCCATGCTTCCATTTTTTTTAGCCTTTGTGCGGGTGATTTTGGAGGAGTTGAATCGGAAAGCGTATTTTGAAAGAGCTGCCTGTTCAAGTCCTTGTAATTGAAATTAGAAACGCGGACAAAAGGAGTTTCTCTGGCGGTGAGAAGAGTATGTGAAATCTAAATGTAGTCTCGTAACCAGAACTAAAATGTAGACGTGGCGGGGTTCGAGCTTTTTTTTATGTAGAAACGGTGATCGTCTCCAAACTGTTAAATTATTAGCTGCGCTTGGCTATGATATCTCAACTACGCGCCGCTCCTGTCACTCTGATTTATATTGAGCGAGCAGTGCAACAATTTCTAAGTATGTAGCAACCAGTCTTGAGCCCCCCGCAACAAAATGTACGGAATAGGTATTCTTGGCAATTGACAAGGGGTGCCTCCACTGCGGAATACAGCAGCAGGCCTTTCTCTTCGTCAATTGATTTGGGCAGGTCCCCTGTTGACTCTATATGGTGGAGCCCATCTATATTTTAAGTAAGGAAATGAACTAATAGCATAGTAATAGGTATGCTTGCCGTTCCTGCTAGGGGAGCGAAAAGAAGAGCAGCTATGGAACCGGACACCTCCGAGCTAGGCGCGGTGGAAGAGAACATTTCCGGACCATTTGTATATAGTGAAAGTGAAGAGCCTTTGGATGAGTCAGCCACTGAGTGTGATGATCTAGAAACGGAGGAACAAGACAAGTCCAAGACTTGGGTATGACAGCAGATGTTTAGAAGGTTGAGTTTTTTGACCAGCAGCTAAACTTTTTGCACGCAATCATTGTGAGTATAATTTGCATAAATTCTGCAACTTGGCAAACTTGGCATGTTACTTTTCTAAGGTTGCGTCATCTAAAGTCCGAAACTTCAATCCTCTACTACCCAACACTACCTTAATATTTTGAACTTGGGTAATGAAATAGCACATATCTACATTATTTCTTTTTTAATCAGATGTGGTTGGGAGATGAAGTAGTGTGTCAAGTTTAAGTCCATAATTTCGGTCATAAGTGGTCGTGGACTCCACCATACCAAAGAGATAATTCACGTGTCTCACCCGCAAGCTATTTACAAGCAGACGCAGTGACGTTAGGGAATGAAACGGTCACGTGCAAGAGATCTTTAACGACTTATACATTACCGAGAAAGGTAAGGCTGAAGTAGGGAGACGTGCCAAGTCCTGGCGATCCTCTTTGTTCCTTTCACATTCATCCAGGCTCGCATCAGACTACGGATACAATCCTCCTTCCATGACTTATTTACCACCCTCATTCACAAACCTACAATTTACGAACAATCAACGGCTCGGAATTCGTTCAGTTTCACAGTGAGACGTTTACTTGGCGCAGCTGAAGGTAGGCTGACCTCGCATTCATTGTTCTTATGTTACCACCGTGGGTGTGTGGTGTCAAGAATTATGCAGTTTTCCCTTGCGGGATATATGTTAATACTTGCAGTTTCAAAACCCTACAGCCGTGACAACCGCTTCTTGATTCTGAGATCAACAGCGCTCAGCAGGAAGTATAGTCAGTCCTTGGAAGATGCCAGCAAGTGGCCCAAACGTTCTTGTCATCGCTTTCTACGGCGACCGGGTCAAAAATATCAGCGCTAGGCTGTTCGGCGAGCTTAGCAAAAAGGCTAGGATCATATTCGTCACAACTGAGGCAGAGGCTTTGAAGCACCTAACCGAGACAAAACTGCAAGCTGTCCTGTTGGCGGACGCTGTAATTATTAATGATTCTAAAAAGCATCCACTTCTTGTGAAGGAAGTTGTCAATTATGCAAAACGTGGTGGCCGAGTAGTGATGTGCTCCATTCTCGCTAGCAATGCCAGATTCCCGGAACTCAAAGCCTTCATGAAACGTGAGTTGGGACTCCCGTGGGAATTTGGGGAGTATGGTGGTCAACAATTGTACTTAAACCCTGCGGGTGTCAATTTGTGCCATTATCCTGGGTTAATTGGAACAATATATACCAAATTTGTTTGTTTAAGCAACGTGGAGCCAGCAAGCAGTATAATGGATACGAAGGTCTCACCGTGCCATCGCGAAGATGATGAGGACGATGATGATGATGAAGATGAAGATGATTACAGAGCTCCCGGAAGAGATTATATTGAATCTTACACTACAGGCATTGCTTTTACAAGATTTCATGATGGTTGGGTGGGGTTTAGTGGGGACGTAAACTCACTAGAGGTTAGTGATGTTGCTATTTTGGCAATGGTAGGGTTGGTTAGGAATGATGTGTGCTTCAAGTGTTCTCAAGAATTTGAATGTCGCAAGGGGATGCCGCCATTGGCCTGTGCAGGCTGCAAAAAGGCTCTATACTGCTCTCCAAGGTGCCAGAGAGCTGATTGGGATCGACATGAGTTTGTATGTGACGTGGAGGCGTGGAAGTTCAGGCATCCAACGCTCTAATGTTTCAATTGGGCAATTGGAAGGGTGCTTCCGGTATGAGGTTTGATCTTTGCGGAGAAACCTGTATATCATTATCTAAAAGCTTCCCCCCTTTTTTTTTATTTTTTTAAAATAACAAAACCCGTATGCCGCCGCGTTGTGTCCTATGACGAGACTTCGGTTCCTTTATATCTTTTCTCTTTTTTGAATACGTTGGGATTATAGGCTTATGATATCGTTAGTTAGGGGTACGAAGACCTTTCGTACAGTACTCTACCACGAATGTGGAGCGTGGGTGAGTGTATACTGTTTGAGTTGCTATTATTCTGGTTACTGCAATACTTTTTTGTGGAGTTAGCAAATGTATTGGGCTCGTTAAACGCGCTACTGTGTTCTACCGGGATATTGCACACAACCAGGATCTTGCGCACTTCGGAACATGAGAATTTTGGAAGCAGTGACTGCAATCAATGTCCGAGTATTATGAAACTGTAGGATAATGTTTTTAACATCTCCTGAAAACTATTCCGCACTTCACTTTGCATTTATCAGAGGATGACATGGTGTAATGTATAGAGATATACCTAGGAACCTCTGCTTATCAAATTAGACATGGAGCAACTAGGGTGTTGGCATGCTTAATTACGCATCACTATATGCTCAGAACCATATGTACCAGATTTGGTGCTGATGTGAGTATTGTAGTAGAAGTGGTGACTAAAAAATATTTGGGAAATGGTAGCAACTTGAGGGTAATAGAAAAAGCAGCGCAATAGGAGATGGAATAGTCTTGAATATAGGTAGAGAGAGTTCTCAGAGCTAAAGCATATAGTAAAGATATATTTAATAATTCTAAGGCCCTATATTATGATTGGAATTTGAGGGACAGCATGCTACTATCTATATAAGATAAGATACAATGTAGTGTATGATTTAATATGCTTAGTATATGAGTATGTATAAAAAATTAAATTACTTACACCTGCTATGCTTTCATCTTCCAAACTATATGGAAATACTGGTCCGTGTACCTCTTAGAATGTACATAATATCTCTATTCTAGCCTACATTTGACCCCCCCCCCCCCCCCCCCCTCTTTTTTTTTTTTTTTTTTTTTTATAAACATGTGTTTCTCTTATTTCCAGGAACGTTCAACATTCTTTATATGTTACATATGAAAATACCGCATGCGTAGAGTTAACTTAGTATCCGTAGGCTCTTATACAACTCGTATATCAAGGTACATTATATTTTACCTGGTAAGGAAAGTAGCATCTATTTCTTATACTCTCAATCATAAGACCAGGGCCCTAGAATTGTTAAAGATTGTTTCTCCACTACATAATTGACTATTTGATTCCCAACCACCTATATTCAATCTATTTTATCTTCTATTGGTCTGCTTTCTGCTATTATTCTTAACTTACTACTTTTTTCAAACATTTTCAGTTACTACATATTCTATAAGATTTATATTAGTACCGAACTTGGTACATATGATTCTGAATATATTATAGGTGACTTTCTGTATTATACAATCTCATACACCTAGTTTATAAGATAGATAGTAGTATGCTATTCTCTATATTTCCAATCATAACATAAGGTTCTAGGATTGCCGAAAATAGATCTTTACCATATAACTTGACCATGGGAACCTCCTCCACTCATATTCAAGCCTGTTCTACTCTTCATTGGCCTGCTTGCTTCCATTACCAGCTATTTCCAAACATTTTTAGTCGCCACTTCTGCTACAATACTCATATTAGCACCAAACTTGGGGTATATGGTCATAGGCATACGGTGATACATAATCGGACACATCATTACTCCTGCCCCTCTGTACCTAATTTGATATTCTCTGTAATACTACACCATGACATCATGCAATAAATGCAAACCGAGGTGCTGAAATTACTCTTGCATCTATAGTGAAGATCTAGCTAGGCTTTAGATGTGTCTCTCGGCAGAAGAACCATCTGAGTCAATGACCCTATCTTTTTTTTGGCTATACAGTACAGCCCGGACGAGTTAAACATTGCTCTAGTATGAATAACGCAGTTAAGGCAATTTACTGTAAGAAGAGTTATTATATATACGATCATATAATCAACAAGAGATTCCACCATCGCCTACATATTACCCCAAACAAGCTGTTACGTGGAAGCTAACTCTATAAAGCAACCTATTTTTTAAAGCTCAGAATTACCCTGACATAGCGACTAGCGGGGTTATGTGAATTTTTTTTTCTTTTTTTTTTTTTTTAAGAAAAAGAAAGATTGAAGATAGTACGTGGGCCAAGCATTGCTGTTTGACTGTGAATAGCCGCGAATACTTAGATACACACCTAGGTACTAGGGAGCACGGTTGACAAATGTTACACTTTCTGGGCTGGTATGTGCATATTGTGTATGCATAAAAATAGATAAAGTGCGCCAGATTAGTCTCAACTACGGTCTTGGTATGAGACTAGCGCCAGATATTGAATGTAGCCGTCTATTTTTTTTGGTCAACGTATGATAGCCCCGCATACGGGCTACTAGCCTATGTATACCCGGGTCATTTTGAGCTCTACCCACTTAAAACTACATG